GCCTCCAACCCCTCCAAGATGTCCTCCTTCACCCTCCTGGCCCATGGATTCACCCGGTCCCCCATCTTCAGGTCGCCCCCCATCGATCGTCGCATACCTTTCGAAAGGATACTTCCCGAAGATGGCAGTGAGCTCATGATCGTGGTGATGGGGTCTGCTCGCTACTCGCTGGAGTCTCTCAAGTCGTCGTACTCGTGCCTCCAGCTTGGTCGGGGCCATCCTCCAACATTTCAAGACCTCAGCCGTCGACATACGTTTGTGTTTTTTTCTCGCCCTCCGCAGTTGTCACGGTCGAGTGAGCAGCTCCGCGCATCGCCCTGCGTGCGAACCTGGCCACGAGCTTGTCTAGCTCCTGCCACCAGCTGGCCTCCGTGAGACAGAAGGCCTCGTTGCCCGACAGCGCTGCGTTTTGTGCGCAGCAGATGAGCAGGCCTCGACGGACCTTCCACGGCGTGCGCTTCAACTTCCAAAATCTACCAAGTGCAAAATAAGCCGGTTCTACTGCCTTTCGCCGTTTGGTAAACTCCTCCCCGCACTTACCGCTCATGTGCAATTGTGCTCCTAAATATCGGGCGCGAGGTCTAAATTTAGCTGGCAGACGGACCCTTCCAGACCGAGGATCCCGAGCATCGTTAGTCGAGCCGCGCCCAGCGAAGGCAGGGGGGATTTCCTGCTTGCCCCGATTCTGCCTGCAGCCTATAGTTCCCAGCGCGCTATCCAGAGCGCTGTTCTCCAGAAAGCTCCGCTGGGCGAGGGGGGCCAAAGATTCCGTGTCTTCGGCGACTACAGATTTTAACAGGTCGTCTGCATATTGACGCAACGGAAGATCAACGTCCCTGTTGGTAGAAAGGGATCTGTGCAATACAGTTTCCTACATCGCAGCCAGGGTGCTTAATGTTACGTTGCCAGATGTCGACACCCCTTTGGAAGGCAAAGAGAAACAAACGCACAACATGCGGATCCCCCATAAACGCCCCGCAGCCGATCCGAAACATCACCTTGCCTTCCTCGCCTGGCAACTGTACCGCGGCTTCGTGGTACCTCTGTCGTCCGAATTGTTCAAGCTCTTCCATCATCAGCTCAGGCTGAGTGGAATCGAACTCATCCCGGGAGACGCTGCCGAATGCATTATTTAAATCGCGCAGATGTGCGTTGCTCGCGCGTCCCTGTCTACGCGCGCGCCACATCGTGCATTGTGCTGCCGCGATTGCCGCTTCCTTTGGGCGGCCCTCAAGAAAGCCGTGCACCTGTGCCTGCATTTTTGGCGCCACATTCTGCACAGCGGACCATCCTTTGCCTAAGGGGGCCAGCAGGTGCACCGTCCTAGTGTCATCGGCTGTTCCCCCCGCAGTGCGAGCCCCTTTGGACTTGGGGAGGGTAATTCCCTGGCTGAGGTGCCAGTAGCTGGGGGTCCGACCTAATTGCCAAATTCTGAGCAGACCATCCTCCAAGACAACTCTAAAAAGAAGGGCGTTCGCGGGGTCCTCAGGTGCGCCGAGACCTCGGTGTCCCTTGGGCGAGCCTCAGGACTCGGATTCAGAAGAATGGCCGGGTGCTCCAGTGGGGCCCCCATGGTGGTTGTGTCCTCCTTTTGGGTGCCTTTTCACCCAGCGCTCCAGCCGTCGAAGATCTCGAACCGCTGCCCGTCGAATGTGTTCATTAAGTACTGCTGGCTCAGCGCCCTGTGGTTACCGTTAATTACGCCATTGATCACAATCCTGCATCTGTGTAGCCTGCATGCCTCCGTCTGGCCCAGCTCGTGACCAGTGCTCTGCCCATTTTTCCAAGGTAAACCCCATCGCTTTTACTGCCAGGAAATGCCGCTTTTTCACGCCATACGTTGTGTTCGCAGCTCTTCGCGTGAGTCTGTGCACCTCTGCCATGTTGCGGGCGCGCCAAGAGTCCCAAACTTGATCCAATAGTTCATCCTGGTAAACTTTCCACTCAATCTCGCGTTCCTTTTTCATGTAAGCCGATATTTGTTTAGTCCCTCCACCACTGTCTGTTCTTCCATATCATATCCTTCATCGCGTCGAAGCCAGAAGCCTCGACGAGCTTTGAGTAAAATCGTGCGTCTCTCCCTTAATGCTTTATAGCGTTCATCTCGCTCAGGTTCGCGCGAAAAACACTGGTGTCCAGCTTCAATCAGTAAATGCCCCACTTTCTCAAAGCGGTAGTCCGCCGACGCGCGGTTTGCCAGGTCCAGTAATTCGCCCCAATTATGGTCCAGCGTGGCCTCCATGTCCTCGATGAAGGCCTGCTTGCGCTCGAAGTCCGTGCCCATGTACGCCTGCTTCATGGTATCCACCTTCCACTTCGGGGTGTTGTCCTGCTTCCTCTGCTCGCTGATAGAGGGCACGCTGAAATTAACATGGGCTGGTAGAGGATCACGCCGCTGTTTGCTGGGCATATTCTGCATTGCTCTGCCGAGCCCCGCCAACGGCCCGCAGCTCGTCCACACTTCGCCAGGGCCGTCGGTATGCATACATAGTCCACCAACGAAGGGTTACCGCAATTGCCGTACCACGTGTCGTCCGCCTTCTACATTGTGGTAGCCACCATGTGGTGTCCTTCCAAGATCTCTCTGAACCGTCGTCCAGCATAGCGTTCCCTACGCGCCCCTGGTCGGTGAATAGCCGAGCTTTCCCTAAACTCTGTCCACTTGCCGTTATCCGTGGCTGCTTGGCCCATGCCGCCATTGAGGTCCAGGCATATAATAAGAGAGCTTCGGCTTGGGGTATGTTGGGGAACCTCTTGCAGCCAATCCATCAGCGTGCCCAAGCACTTCTCCTATGTCGATCGGTTGTCTAACCTGGTCGGTCGCGGCGGCACGTAGAGGCCTATCAGCGTGAAGCCGAACTGCCTCGAAATCAATCGCGCTGCTAGGCCTCGTCCTGCGCACTGTTCAGGTACCGCCATCACCCGTCTCAGGTGTCTAGGTTTGAATGTGTTGCCGAAGCTGAAGAGCACACCTGCAGACTTGTTGCTGAAGCTGGCTCGTTTCCATCCGCTCTCGATACGCCAGCGCTCCCCCGCTCGTTGCTGCTGAGTTGGAAGGTCGCACCGACGTTGTGTGACCCACCCGCGGCCCACCCCGCGACCCACCTCACGACCCACCCGCGACCCACCCCGCGACCCACCCACGACCCAACCGCGACCCACTCCGCGACCCCGCGCCCGCGACCCACTTCACGCACCGCTGCGTGACCCACCTGCGACCGATCCGCGACCCACCCCGCGACCCACCCGCGATCCACCAGCGATCCACCCCGCGCACATTGCAATTTCAAAAAATCGGCGCCTGTGGCGGGCGGTTTTGCATTCGCTCGCGACCCCCGACCCGCGACCCACCCCGCGACCCACCCGCGACCCACCGCGACCACCCCGCGCACGTTGCAATTTGAAATTCGGCGCCTGCGGCGGGCTGTTTTGCGTTTGCTCGCGACCCCCGACCCGCGACCGACCCCGCGACCCACCGCGACCACCCCGCGCACGTTGCAATTTCAAATCGGCGCGCAAGGCGGGCTGGTTTGTTTTCGCTAGCCCCCGACCCGCGACCGACCCCGCGACCATCTGGAGGAGAAGGAGGAGGAGGGCGGCTGAGGGAGGAGAGAGGGAAGGGAGAGGGGGGACCAGGGCAAGGACGATGAGGAAGAGGAGCAGAGGGACTAGGATGATGAGGAGGAGGAGGAGGAGAAGGAGGAGGAGGAGGAGCGCCAGCGACAAAGAAAGTGAGGGCCACGAAATCCGCAACCTCGATGCCCGCAACGCCCGCGCCCGCCCCATCACTCTTATCCGCAATTGCGGGGTGCTACGTATATATATATATATATATATATGTATACAGATATAGGTATCACCTAACCTGTGTCAACATACCCTGAATTCTTTGAGATCGCTACAGGTCTGCATCTCGATTTGCATCCCCCACAAGACAACGGCGAGACAACCCACGGGCAACCCACACGACAGACCACAAAACAACCCGCGGGACAACTCACGGGACAACCAATGGGACAACCCATGGGACAACCCATGGGACAACCCAGAATACAATCACGGAACTACCACCTACCACGCGACAATCCACGAGACAACACGCAGGACAACCCATTGGACAACTCACGGGCCAACCGCGGGACAACCCACGGGACAACCACGCGTTAATCCACGGGACAATCACGAGACGACCACGGAACAGCCCCCGGGACAATCAACAGAACAACACCAGGACAACCCATGGGACAATCATGGGACACCAACGGGACAACCCAGAAGACAACAACGCAACAACTTATAGAAACACCGCGGGACCACCCACGTGACGACCCACGAACCAACCCATGCGACAACTGCGGGGCAACCGCGGGACAACCACGGGACAACCCAGGGGACAACTAACGGAACAGCCGCGAGACAACCACCGAACTGCTCGGACTTACCCGCACCCCCGAAGGAGGCTAACCCAAACAATTTGCCCGACCTGGCCCCGCCGGGCCCGGGCTACAGCAACGGACATATCGCGACACGAATCCAAACTGAAACAATTTTTGGTAAGGTCGCTCTTACCCGCAACTCTTTGATTTAGCTTGCTGCGGGCTGTACTCGAGTGTTGCTAGAAGTACCCCTGGCCCAAGGTGCCCCCAGGATTCCGGGGGCACCTTGGGCCAGGGGCACCTTTAGCAACCACCGATGTATATTCGTAAACTGATTGCTGCAGACTGCTCCTGTCCCCGAGTACCCTGCAATGTCCCCATGACACGTGCACGCATGCCGACAGCGAACGTGAGACTAGTCGAATCAATTGCACGTACAGCTGGACGGAGGACAGAAGAACATCCTTCAAGAACATGAAGCCCTCCGCCAGCCGAAACTGAAGAACCCTCGAAGGTACCCTCCCCCAAGATGCACAATATCATCTAACAGACACGAAGAACACTAGGGTACCCTCCCCGAACCGACCTCGATCTTATTCCTCGGCCCGACAATATAGAGGCTGCCTGTGAGAAGGTCCACGCCGTCGTGTGCCTCGTGAAAGGGCCGCTGCCGAGCAACAGATCAAGTACACGGCACACATACGCATTCGAAACATGGAACTACATGTTGCTCATCGCGTGTCTTTGCACGGGCTCCTCCGTTAACGCAGCGGAGCCACCTCAACAGCAGCTAAGACATACCCGCTGTAATCCTCTAAATCGCACGTCTCTGTCAACGTACAACAAGACACATGCATGCGTGCCAGCGCTGGCCCGAAAACCATGCGTGCTTGCAATATCGGAATGCACTCTACGCGGAAAGAGATATGTGATGCGATCAACACGGTTCAACATACACAGTGAAAGCGGTAAGGCACAACCTGTGATGAGCGATGTTTGGGAAGCGGCGTCAAGACGAGGACGCACAGGAGGATATTCTGCATTAAGTGGAAGATGTTTGGTGAGATGGGCACGGACGAGCATCATAGCAAGGCGCGATGGGCGACGAGCGCTCGGTGACGACGATGACGACTTCTGAAATGCTATGCCGCCCACACAGGGGCGACCCTTATGTGTGAGTTAGAGCCAACATCTTGGTTTCAACCCTGCAGCGTTCACTGCGGGCTCTAAGAGTTCGCAGCCGCGCGCGTGCCTCTGTCTGCGCGCTAGCCTCCAAGAGGCCCCCGAAGCCCCCCGAGATGCCTCATCTTCCTCGTCTCCTTCTATCTCCTCCTCTTTCTCCTCTTGCTCCACCTCCTCCACACCCTCTCCGTTCTACTCCTCCGCCTCCGCCTCCTCCTCCTCCTCCTCCTCCTCCTCCTCCTCCTCCTCCTCCTCCTCCTCCCCTTCTCCCTCTCCAGAATGTTCCCTAATGGGTTTCTGCACAACGACTTGTGAAACAACGTTTGGCCACACAAAGCGTCATGGAATGGCAATGGTTCGCGATAAGCGTCTTCGATCCGCGGCCCACATTTTGTTTGCAAACGGATGCACGGCTTGCTAAGGCTGCAACTCCACACGATTTCCAATGAAATCTCGGCTCAAACCGTCGGCCATCCGAATCAACCGGACAGGCAGGCCACATCGCCTCCAAAACTGCCAAGATGGACCAAGATGGCCCCCAAGTCTAAGACGGTCCGGGACAGGCGGCCCCAGCATCGAATCGATAAGCCGGATCGGGTCGACCGGAACATCGAATCGGCAGAAATCGGCTGAGGTCGGCAAATCCGAGCCGGATCGAGTCAGAAACCGAACCGCGTCAAGCCGGATCGGAATCGAAATCGACCCCCCCCCCTGGGGGGGAGGTTTTGGACCCCCCCCTGGGGGGGGGGTTGGGGTCCCGGAGCTTTTGGAAAACCCCCCCCTGGGGGGGGGTTGGGGTCCTGGGGCTTTTGGACAACCCACCCCTGGGGAGGGTTTGGGGTCCCGGGGGTTTTGGACCCCCCCCCTGGGAGGGTTTTGGGTCCCGGGGGTTTTGGAAAACCCCTCCCTGGGGGGGGGGGGTTTGAGGTCCCGGGGGGTTCGGACCTCCCCCCCTGGGGGGCGTTTGGGGTCCCGGAGGTTTTGGACCCCCCCCCCTTTTGGGGAGGTTTGGGGTCCCGAGGGTTTTGGACCCCTCCCCCTGGTGAGGGGTTTGGGTCCTGGGGGTTTTGGACCCCCCTCTCTGGAGGGGGTTTGGGGTCCCGGGGGTTTTGGACCCCCCCCCCTGGGAGTGGTTTGGGTTCCCGGGGGTTTTGGACCCCCCCCCCTGAGGGGGAGTTTGCAGTCCCGGGGGTTTTGGAAAACCCTCCCCCCCTGGGGGGGAGGGGGGGGGGTCCCGGGGGTTTTGGAAAACCCCCCTCTGGGGGGGGGTTGGGGCCCCGGAGGTTTTGGAAAACCTCCACCTGGGGGGGGTTGGGGTCCCGGGGGTTTTGACCCCCCCCTGGTGGGGGGGTTGGGGTCCCTGGGGTTTTGGAAAACCCGTTCCTGAGGGGGGGTTCGGGGTCCCGGGGGTTTTGGTAAACCGCCCTCCGGAATGTTTTGGGGTCCCGGGGGTTTGGGAAAACCCCCCCTGGGGGAGGTTTGGGGTCCCGGGGCTTTGGGACCCCCCCCCCTGGGGGGGGTTGGGGTCCCGGAGGTTTTGGACCCCCCCCCTCCCTGAGCATCCGGCACCCACAGAAAACAAAAGATAAGTTAAGTTTAAGAAACTATGTTAAGTGCTAAGAAACTAAGGTGAACCCGCCAGCAAAACTAAGGTATGTAAGTTCAAACTAAGTTAAGTGCAACAGGGTAGGGCATTTTAAGTACATGCTAAATTTCGGCCTAAGGCAAGAAACGTGCGACGATCCAATACGAGGCCCACCAGCTGTTGGAAACACCGCACAATTTTCGATACATGGATGAGTGTAATCAGAAATATCTGTTCTGTTGCACGTATCTTAGTTTGAACGTATCTACATTCGTTGTGGGGGGGAGAAAATCACTTAACTTAATTTGAACTTACCATAGATTCTTAAACATAACTTATCAGTCGTTTTCCGCGGTTGCCGAACGCTCTCCTACAAGGCAGCTTCCCGATTGAAGGCTGCAGTGCTCGGCGATCCATAGATTCAGTAATCCTCCTCCTCTCCTCCTCCTACTGCTCCTCCTCCTCCTTGGGCCCCTCTCGTTGCTCTCTCGGGGCAATCTTGGGGCATTGCGGAGCCCCCCATGAGCTGTCTCTGGCCGCCTAGCAGAGGGCGGGCATCGCTGACGCCTGAATCGAGACCAGGAAATTTCGGGCATGTCCCTGGGGAACAACCAAGGAGCCCGCAGGGTACGGCCCAAGAGGCCCTCAGGAAAGAACGCGACGGCTCAGGAAAGCCCCAGGACTGCCCCAGCCGAGCCCAACCAAAACCCACGAATGCATACCACAAGCCATCTCGTTTTTTATTGTGGATGCCCGCGTGGAGTCGTCTTTGGGCCTCAAGGCCCCCCCTCCCAATGTGGGCCCCCATGAGCGCCCAGTGCCGCGGACGCGAACCGCGCGGGGACATCGGCTGGCGGAGTCGGCGCGAGCCGTGCGAATAGCGAGAGGAGGGGGGACTCAGGACGAAGAGACAGCAAACCAGAATCGGAAAATCAGTTCAACAGAAAATTGATCACATCATTATTTATTGTCGTGTGTGTTTTCCACACTGGACGCCCCCCAGAGGGCGTCAACAACAAAAAAAAAATAAACAAAAAACCTAAAACCATTGAAAATAAAGCAAACAGAAGACCCCCAAACGCAGCCAGGACGGAGGCTCGGCCCCCGAAGGCCCAGGCGGCCCCAGGACCACGGCCGACAACAAGCTGTTCAGGGTCTTGATCGAAAACGCTCACGCTGGTCCTCCTCCGTCGTCCTTCCTCCGCCCCCCTTCCTCATCCGTGTCATCCACCCCCTCCCGTCCCACGTCCCCTTGCGCTCGTATTATCCGCCGCCCTTGCCCCTCTTCCACCTCCTCCTCATCCCCCCGCCCCGTCTGGGTCGCGCGGGCGGCGGCTGTCCTGCCGCGGCGCCCTCGTCGATCGACAGGGCCACGGAGGGGGGGGCATGATGGTGGCGATGATGATGGTGGTGACGATGATGATGATGATTATTATTAATATGATGATGATTATAATGATGATGATGATGCTGATGACGATGATTATGATGGTGACGATGATGTCTGTTGTTTTCTCGTGCCCAACCAAGTGCTGGGCACGCGCTATCACTCGAGGCTGATGCCCCACCGATACTTCTCGACAACCACATTCGGCACCATGTGCATGGTTGTGCATGCCACTGATTTGCCGCCGATTTTTTTCACGTGCCTAACGAAATCCTCATCAATGAACGTTGCGCCCCTGCGGACGCCCAAGTACTTTGCTCTGTAGCTCATGTGCCACATCCAATGTAGTTTTGGCGCTGGAGTGAACAACATCTGGTCGCGAGCCTTGCTCGCGTTCGTGAGCCAACAATACACCCGACAGAACTTATCAGTCTCAGACAAGCAGGAGGCCGCTTCATTATCTGGAATGAACGCGTCATTGCTGTAATCACTTATAATGAACTGTATTTTAGTCATTGCATCGAGCGAGTTGGCAACCTGATCGTAAAAGTGGCCTGCTTTTTTTCAGCTTTCCCCAAATGATATGGAGAGGCACAATAAGAGACTTCACCTCACAGCCCTTCCCTTTTAACCTTGGGTAGGCTTCGTTCCATTTGCTAGGGTCGATGAAAGATGTTATTCTCATTTTTTGAACTCTGTGCCGCTCGGCGAACCTCTGTACTCATCTAGTATCATTTTCCACACCAGCTCGAAATTCTCGGTCGGTGTTCCGCCGAGGCAATCATATGTCAGCAACCACAGAATGCTGCCAAGATAATACTGTAAAACTCCAAGGTGCAGGATGTGTAACTCGTCGCACTCTAAGTTGTTCAATGATACAAATGGAAACACTGCGGACAATGCGTGAAGCGATGGCTTGCCAGCTCTCCATTCTGCCGCCGTGTGCAATCTCGCCTTCCAAGCTGCCGCGGGGGAGAAATTTGTCGGCCACATCGCTTTCGGCAGCGCTCTGTCGCACGGGCAGAACTCGCACGGGTCAGTCCGATTGTAATTCTTGAGGCCTAACCCCTTGAAGTACCATTCCAAATCTCCCTTTATGGACCAGATCACTCCGAAAAACGCCTCCTCCTCAGAACACAAGTGTTGCCCTGCAATGGTTGCTTCGCTGGAGAGCGGGTCCCACGGGGCATCCTTCCAATCTGTTGCAGGAAACCGCCCATCATACAACGCCTTCAAAGACCAGCAGATGTGTTGCCACATTGTCTCTGTCGTGTCTTGGACGCCTGGGATGCTGGCAACCTTGTTGTTCTCGAACATCGAGCACAACAAACACTTGACCTTCAACGTCGGTCCCTTAGCTAGAAGAGATTGAATAGATATGCATTCCAAGCTCTCCGACCCAGGCTTCCCCACCCGAACCACTGGCACGGCGTCGCCGTGAATGGCGAGCGGGACGCACCTTCTAGTCCAACCTGGCTTGAGGCACATAGGGTGATTC